TGAGTATCTGTATCACTAGGTTGAGTCACATTGTATTGGATGTAACTGTGTCATTACTCATGCAGAGAAAATCTCTGCAACTTTAACTCATGGGCCACTGTTTGTATAAGGTTATTTATGTCATTTTACCTCACTTTCACTATAAATACATGTCTTTCTTCATTCTACTATGACGGTTTCCCACTATATGGGACCAACACCCAAATAAATGCAAATCTACCAAAATTTGTAGATACAAACAATATGATATTACTGTAATTATCCACTCAAAAATTTATATAAATAGAAAATATGTAGAAGCAAACAAAACATTAGTGTTATAGTCACCAAAGTGAAACTAATCCTTTCTATCATTTTGGTGATAAAAAATTTATTTTTGTATGAGAATTTATTCATATTCTCATCATAGAGGTTTTTAGTTAGAAAGAGAACAAAACAAGTCAATTTTTTATAAACCGTCATTTATTTATAAAAAATAGGCGGTCATGGGTATTTACATCACTAGGTTGAGCCACACTGTATTGAATGTAACTGTGTCATTACTCATGCAGAGAAAATCTCTGCAACTTTAACTCACAGGCCACTGTTTACGTGAGGTTATTTATGTCATTTTACCTCACTTTCACTATAAATACATGTCTTTCTTCATTCCACTATGACGGTTTCCCACTGCGTAAGACGAACACTCAAATAAATGTAAATCTACCCAAATTTGTAGATACAAACAATACGATATCACTGTAAATATCCACTCACAAATTTATATAAATAGTAAATATGTAGAAGTAAACAAAATATTAGTGTTCTAGTTACCAAAGTGAAACTAATCCTTTCTATCATTTTGGTGATAAAAAGTTTAATTTTGTATGAGAATTTATTCATATTCTCATCATGGAGGTTTTAAGTTAGAAAGAGGACAAAGAAAGTCAATTTTTTATAAACCATCATTTATTTATAAAGAATAGGCTCATCATGGGTATCTGCATCACTAGGTTGAGCCATACTGTATTGGATGTAACTGTGTTATTACTCATGCAGAAAAAATCTCTGCAACTTCAACTCATGGGCCACTATTTGCGTGAGGTTATTTATGTCATTTTACCTCACTTTCACTATAAATACATGTCTTTCTTCATTCCACTATGACGGTTTTCCACTGTATGGGACCAACACCAAAATAAATGCATATCTACCCCAAATTTGTAGATACAAACAATATGATATCATTGTAAATATCCAATAACAAATTTATACAAATAGTAAATATGTAGAAGTAAACAAAATATTAGTGTTCTAGTCATCAAAGTGAAACTAATCTTTTCTATCATTTTAGTGATAAAAAGTATATTTTTGTATGAGAATTTATTCATATTCTCATCATGGAGGTTTTAAGTTAGAAAGAAGACAAAGCAGGTCAATTTTTTTTAAATCATCATTTATTTATAAAAAATAGGCTGGTCACGGGTATCTGCATCACTAGGTTGAGCCACACTGTATTGGATATAATTGTTTCATTACTCATGTAGAGAAAATCTCTGCAACTTCAACTCACAGGCCATTATTTGCGTGAGGTTATTTATGTCATTTTATCTCACTTTCACTATAAATACATGTCTTTCTTCATTCCACTATGATGGTTTTCCATTGTGTGGTACCAACACTCAAATAAATGCAAATCTACCAAAATTTGTAGATAAAAACAATATGATATCACTGTAAATATCCACTCACAAATTTATATAAATAGTAAATATGTAGAAGCAAACAAAACATTAGTGTTCTAGTCACCAAAACGAAACTAATCCTTTATATCATTTTGGTGATAAAAAGTTTATTTTTGTATGAGAATTTATTCATATTCTCATCATGGAGGTTTTAAGTTAGAAAGAGGACAAAGCATGTCAATTTTTTATAAACCATCATTTATTTATAAAAAAATATGCTGGTCATGGGTATCTGCATCACTAGGTTGAGTCACACTATATTAGATGTAAATGTGTCATTACTCATGTAGAGAAAATCTTTGCAACTTCAACTCACGGGCCACTATTTGCGTGAGGTTATATATGTCATTTTACCTCACTTTCATTATAAATACATGACTTTCTTCATTCTACTATGACGGTTTCCCACTATGTTGGACTAATACCCAAATAAATGCAAAATCTACCCAAATTTGTAGATATAAACAATATGATATCATTGTAAATATTCACTCACAAATTTATATAAATAGTAAATATGTAGAATCAAACAAAACATTAGTGTTCTAGTCACCAAAGTGAAACTAATCCTTTCTATCATTTTTGTGATAAAAAGTTTATTTTTTTATGAGAATTTATTCATATTCTCATCATAGAGGTTTTAAGTTAGAAAGATGACAAAATATGTCAATTTTTTATAAACCATAATTTATTTATAAAAAATAGGCTAGTCATGAGTATCTGCATCACTAGGTTGAGCCACACTCTATTGGATGTAACTGTGTCATTACTGAATATCTCTGCAACTTCAACTCACATGCCATTGTTTGTGTGAGGTTATTTATGTCATTTTACCCCACTTTCACTATAAATACATGCATTTCTTCATTCTACTATGACGGTTTCCCATTGCGTGGGACCAACCAAATAAATGTAAATCTACTCAAATTTGTAGATACAAACAATATGATATCACTATAAATATTCAATCACAAATTTTTATAAATAGTAGATATGTAGAAGCAAACAAAACATTAGTGTTCTAGTCACAAAAGTGAAACTAATCATTTCTATCATTTTGGTGATAAAAAGTTTATTTTTGTATGAGAATGATTCATATTCTCATCATGGAGGTTTTATGTTAGAAAGAGGACAATGAGGTCAATTTTTTATAAACCATCATTTATTTATAAAAAATAGGCTGATTATGGATATATGCATCACTAGGTTGAGCCACACTGTATTGGATAACTGTGTTATTACTCATGTAAAGAAAATCTTTGCAACTTCAACTCACGGGTCACTATTTGCGTGAGGTTATTTATGTCATTTTACCTCACGTTCACTATAAATACATGTATTTTTTCATTCCATTGTGACGGTTTCCCACTGCATGTGACCAACACCCAAATAAATGCAAAATTACCCAAATTTGTAGATACAAACAATATGATATCACTGTAAATATGAACTCACAAATTTATATAAATAGTAAATATGTAGAAGCAAACAAAACATTAGTATTCTAGTCACCAAAGTGAAACTAATCCTTTTTATCATTTTGGTGATAAAAAGTTTATTTTTGTATGAGAATTTATTCATATTCTCATCATGGAGGTTTTAAGTTAGAAAGAGGTCAAAGCATGCCAATTTTTTATAAACCATCATTTATTTATAAAAAATAGGCTGGTCATGGGTATCTGTATCACTAAGTTGAACCACATTGTATTTGATGTAATTGCGTCATTACTTATGCAGAGAAAATCTTTGCAACTTCAACTCACAGGTCATTGTTTGCGTGAGGTTATTTATGTTATTTTACTTCACTTTCACTACCAATACATGTCTTTCTTCATTTCACTATGACGGTTTGTCATTGTGTGGGACCAACACCCAAATAAATGCAAATCTACCCAAATTTGTATATACAAACAATATGATATCATTGTAAATATCCATTCACAAATTTATATAAATAGTAAATATGTAGAAACAAAGTGAAACTAATCCTTTCTATCATTTTGGTGATAAAAAGTTTATTTTTGTATGAGAATTGATTAATATTTTCATCATGGAGGTTTTAAGTTAGAAAGAGGACAAAACAGGTCAATTTTTTATAAACCATCATTTATTTATAAAAAATAAGCTAGTCATGGGTATCTGTATCACTAAGTTGAGCCACACTATATTGGATGTAACTGTGTCATTACTCATGTAGAGAAAATCTCTACAATTTCAATTCATGAGCCATTGTTTGCGTGTCCCACTGTGTGAGACCAATACCCAAATAAATGTAAATCTATCCAAATCTGTAGATACAAATAATATAATATTACTGAAAATATCCACTCACAAATTTATATAAATAGTAAATATGTAAAAACAAACAAAACATTAGTGTTTCTAGTCACTAAAGTAAAACTAATCCTTTCTATCATTTTGGTGAAAAAATGTTTATTTTTGTATGAGAATTTATTCATATTTTGACTATCGAGATTTTAAATGTTAGTTTTTGTTGTTGCAAAATATTAGTATTTATCTTCTCCTTGTAACTTTAGTCATATATTTATATTCAATATTGGGTTGATGTCTTCTAAAATGTTTGTTTAGAGAGTATATATATTTAAACTTTATATTCAACGCTTATATACAGCAATTTATTATATGTCATTTATTAGATCAGTTATGTAATAAATCAGACTACTTATACACTACACACGAGTCTGGACTTGAACACTACAATTTTGATACCTTAGGTATAGGCTAAGTTAGAAAGAGGACCAAACATCTCCATTCTTTATAAACCATAATTTACGTATAAAAATACGATAATAAAATTGATAACGAAATGACACGTCAACCCAATAAAAATAAAATTATATTTTAATTGATTTGATCTTTTATCAAATATTAATAATAAGTACCTATTGAAGAATGAAATGTATTATTTTAAATTTTGAATGATAATTATTTAGAAAGATAAATGAAATAAACATTAGTAATATACAGTTTGATTCTATTAGGTGAAACCTTTAGATTGCATACATGCATTATCGAGTACAATCCAATCCAAATTTGAATAAAATTGAATAACGGAAGAAAAAGCAGTTGACATGTGATGGTCATGGACGACCCTCACACAGAATTAGTAACTATCAAATAAAATCATAATGCTTACTTAACGCGCACCAGACTATATACAACTAAAATTCGGACATCATCTCAAAGGAAAGCGCTAATTGTCCATACCAGAAAAAAGAGAACAGAACATAAGAACTGATATGTAAATCCTGAAATTCAAGAACACGCTATTTCTGAAAAAGGGCAGGTTTTCAAACACCTCAACTGTCCGTTGAACATGTAAAAAACGCCAGACACTAAGTCTGCGGTGATCACGGTTCCTCTGTAGTGTATTCTTCTTCTCAGAGTTGTTCTTGTTTGGTCTTCCGACCATATACTAACCTCCTGAAGATCCCCTTCTCTCCAGCATATGTTAACTGTTGTTCCTCCACGAGCCTTCAAGCCTTTCAAGGAGCCATTTGGCCATTTCTCCCAGGGAAGAGCAGGAAGTAGGTAAAGATCGCTCAATGTACTCTGCACAAGCATTTCTGCAACTGCCGCTGCAAAACTGGCAACGAAATAATCCTGAGGAAGTTCAATTTATCACTGACACTGCCCATTTGAGCTACAAGGCCTATTTATATTAACCTTTTTTTTAAGATTAGAAAAAATCAAGTGCAACATGTCTGACAGAGGATAACATAAAAATATTGTGAGGTCAAAACAGAAATCTAATGGGTTCAGCAAATCACATTTACAATTATGTAAAGAAAAGACAATAGTGTATATTTGATATTAGCTATTCAACTCCAGGTATATTGTTTTGGTATGTAATTAATTATCATCTGAGTAAAACAAAAGCCTAACTTGTAAAATTTGCATTTAGTTGTTTTTGGCCAAGTTAATGATAATGCTACTATCTTGAGTGAAAATAAAGACAAACGTATCATATAAGTGGGCAACATATTTGAAGTTTGGATGCAACACTAGAAAACACCTAAGCAAGTTACCCGAAGTTGGCATCGATCTGAAATGGTGGGTGTGCAGCAAAAAGGTTGCTATAAAGTCCACCTTGAAATGGTGTCTCATGATCTGGATCCACTAAGTTGATCAACCGCTTGATCATCTTATATGCATTAGAACTGTTCTGTAGACGCGCCCAGCAAGCAGTTTTCCATGTGGTTGACCATCCAGGACCTTCCTCTCCTGTTTCCAAATCACAAGGATTATTTAGATAAATGCTTTTTATTATGGGCAGAGAAACATTGTTTAAGAAAAGCAGCAGGTAGCTGTAATAGCTTCAATATCTAGCACAACTCTATTTTTAAAAATAAAGGAAATGTGCTTCCTTCATTCGCATACTTCTACATGATCTGCCCCTCCTAAAAAATAATTAGATTCCTGCTAATTGAAGTCTTATAAACTATGGATGTATTTGGGTAAACTTCTGCATGAACATTTCTAGAATACAAAAATAGGAAGAAAAAAATTAATTAAGTTTTTCGATAAGATCATATTAATGTATGCATAAATTACAAAAGTATTTCATCTTTTCTTTTTCTTTTAAAAGTAATTACAAAAGAATTTACCCAAACAGACCCAATGTTACTTAGAATCAGGGGTCTCACAAGGGATAAGATTAAGATCTCTAATTGACAAAGATGAATAGTGAGTGGTCTGAGCCATGCAGTTTACTAGAAATCAATAGAGAGAACTCTATCTAGAGTTCTTGCAAGACGAAAATAAGTATTATAATTGTTCAGATTATGCAAACCTCGTTTATAGAGGCTTTTCTCAGCAGCTTCAAACAGGGCTGGAGTATTCTCAAAAGTAATTGTATGCCCAGGAAATAGACCGAATAGATGTGAAAGGTGCCGGTGATGTACCTCTGGATCCTTGAAATCTTTCACCTGTCTTCCACAAGAAAATCCCACTATTTATTGGGCAATTTATCATATCAAAGTTAATCGTTCAATATAGTAGCATGCATCTTTCATATTCCAAGAAAATACCCATTCCATTATGGAACCATCTTGGGCAATATAGATTGGACGTAACCGTGGTTGAGCTTCACGAACTTTTTTGACAATATTATCCTCTGTTCTCCCTGTAACCTGTTTTGAAAGAATATACAAATTCTTTAGCAAACAAAACGTCTTATAATGTGTTAGTTAAAGTTTGGAAATTTTACCTTGGCAGCAGAAAGAAATGTGGAGAAGACTTCATGTATGATGGCCACATCCATTGTGGATGACTGGCTTACACAAGCAGGCTCACCGTTGGGAGCAATAAAACTATGTTCAGGGGAAGTTGATGGATTAGTTTCAAGATATCCTTCATTGTCTTCTATCAGCCAACTCAACAGAAATGAGACACATCCTTCCATTATGGGATATGCTTTATATTTAAGGAAATCCTGTAGAAAAAAACAACCAAAATTTGCCTTTGTTAGTTCTAGCTGTATCTTAGTTTGGCCAAAAAATCATTTCACCACGCACTAGACATGATTTTGCAATTTTTTCCTCAATTACAATATTTAAGCGCTGTTTCAAATTAAATTTTGTATTTTTTCACATTAAAAAACAATTTTGTTGAGTACCATCCAAATAAACCTCAATCGAAATTTTTATAAGCATTTCCAAAAATAACTCATTCTTCTGTGTTTGTTTCTTCCAAAATTAATCCTTTCGATAAAAATAAAAAGTTTATCTGCACTAAAACCCAAACAAGCGCAACATTCAAAAATGGATTAAAATTTAGAAGGCCTCTTCCAAAGGCTACTGACTTCTTAACAACTTAGCTTTGTATGTTCTCTTTTTTCTCTTTTTAATTTTATTGTATTTTGCTCTAGTTTATCTCATTAAATGATTCAGAATTCACAAACCAGTTTACCTTATCCATTGTGTATGCATAGTGCTCCCATAGATGAGTACAGAGCCATGCTCCACCCATTGGCCACAAGGCCCACAGAACATCACCATGACCTGCTGATGTTCTTGCCCATATATCTGATTTACTATGTGCCACCCACCCACTGGCTTGGTAATTCACCTTCAGATTTAAGTAATTGAATGAGAGAAGCTCTAGAACATAAGTAAGCCAAACTTAAGGGAAATAAATTCATGAGAAGTTCAAAAGTAAGGGAGAGAACACAAATAAACAGGCATCAAGGTGGCTCAAGGCAATCTGATATTGCCTCCAATTGTTAGCCACTTTGCTTGAATAAAGGTGTAGCAACTTCAACTAATTCCAACTACTCCAACCAATAAACCAAGTAATTATAGTTAGTTTCCTTCTGTGTCAGTTGAATGACTCGACTCAAATTTGAGAAAATTTGTTTTTGATAATTTTCTTTTTCCATATTCAAGGAAGGTGCATTTTAGAGCTCCAAGTGCCAATTTAAGGATTTTATTTGAAATATATTTCTAAAGCCTTAGAGTTTCCAAGCAACAGTTTTATGTCTTTGAGCATATATAGATCCTCTAATTATGTCTCTCTGCAAATCCAATTGTTGGGAATATCTTCTTGAATTTAATTTGTTTTTTTTTTTCAGTTTTTTCAGCATCTCCAAGATCATTTTAAGTACTGTATTTCGTAAAAATATTAAATTTATTGGTCAAAATCAAAATGAGTACTCATTTGGCTTTTCTAGAATGAATTTCAGAATCCTCTGCTCTGCTCCATTTTTTCCACCTAGTTATTCCAATTCGTCCATAAATTTGTGTAAAATATTTATTGATGCTCAGGTTCAACGGCTATGGCTAGTACCCTCTATTTGACATGGTTTAAAATATTATTACTCGTTGAATTATTTTGCTATCATTGTTTAATATTCACTGTTGAGGGAAACAAGCCTTGATATTACATTTTCAATTTTGGTCACTGCAATTCTTGTGTAAGCGAATTTAGTAGTCAAATTGTAGATAGTAGCAGTTCAATTTCAAAATTAGGCTAAATATAAGACAACGTCTTCCTTAATTAAGATGGCCTTCAACGAAAAGGTAAAGAGAAGATAAATACTTACATATGCAGTTTTACTGCCATTCACAGACAGAGAGGAAATATAATCTAACAATGGTTCTTGACACTCGCTAAGATTGCAAGGAAGAGCAGGCCAATAGTTCATTTCAAGATTGATGTTCAAGTGAGGAGCTCCACTAGGAAAAACAAAGTAACCATTGTTACTCTCAGATTAAAAAAATTAATGCAAGTCTGCCTTGCAAGTGAATGGGCACCAAATGCTGTGGTAAATAAAAAGAAATGAAAATAAAAACCTGATTAATCCTGACATCTAATAATAGATAGCAAGCCTTGTTTAAAACCATATCCATTTGAAATAAAATAGAATGTAAACATACTCCCAAACTGGCTCAATATCTTTGTTCCAAATTCCCTGTAGATTTGCCACCTGAGTTCCAGGACGCGAAGAAGAAATAAGCAAATATCGACCATATTGAAATAGAAGCTCCACCAAGGATGGATCTTCATCTGTCTGAAATGATTTCACCCTGTCAGAGGTTGAAACTTGTGTTACACTGTCCACTAGAGACAGGTCAGCTACAGTCGGCGCAAGCCTCTCCAATTCCAAAGAGCTATCTTCTGATATATTCCGCTGCGTGCTTCTCGGAAGCTTCAGCGATACCCGGTGAAAAAGGTCTTGATAGTCATTTAAATGGCGTGCATAGAGATCAGAATATGATACATTGTTTATTGAGCTCAATATACCGAAACACTCGGAAGTAGGATCCTTTTTAGAATCTGAAGGTGCGGTAAATGGGCCACTGAAGGAGGACGAAGCAACGAGAAGGAAAACAGCCCAATCTGAAGCCTCAACCTTCAACTTGTTGTCGTCCAACATACTGATGACGCCATTTGTACCACCAATGTTCAAATCAAGAATTGCCGAGAATTGAATCCCCTGTGGAGTATCTTGTGCGCTGTGTTGGAATTGAGGTGAGACCCTTTTAGCAGGACACACACCCTTCATTATAATTTGATTGGTGCCATTTATGTAGGTTTGATTAATCAATTTGCTGTGCAGAGAAAGTGTAAATGAAAGTTTGGCATTTTGGGTGGCGGAAATATTAGTGACAATGACTTGATCTGGATAGGAGGCAAAGTGTTCCCTTTTGAATTGGACATCTCCAACGGAATAGCTGACTTTGACAGTAGCAGTGTCCAAGTCCAGTTCCCTCTCGTAAGTTTGTTGGGCGCAGGTGAAATGGGAATAATCGAAGTCCAATTTGATATCGGCCAGAGGTTGGTAGGCCTAGGCATGAGAAATCAAAAGAGAATGATGGACGAAATTGAAATTGAAATGGAAGTGGCATTACGTACCTCGGATGGATTCGGTCCTGTTAAGGCAGAAGCAGCAGCAGTGGCTTGTGGATAGTGTTGACGGTCAACGAGGTTTCTAACCAGAGAAAGTGCTTGTGGAGCTTTAGAATCAGTGTAGTCTGCGGGTGTCCCGGTCCAGAGCGTGTCCTCTGAAGCAAAAAATCAAACACACACATACAATGATTTTGTGGTGTGTGGAATGAAGATGAAGATGAAGATGAAGACGAAGATTACCATTGAGGTGAATGGTTTCGGAATGGAGGTTGCCGCAGATCATGGCTCCGAGGCGTCCATTGCCTATGGGAAGGGCATTAGTCCAGTGCCTCCCACCTTCTTCTCTAAACCTAATCTTCAAGTTCGAATTTGTACGCCCTTCAGCTTCCATCCCAGCCAGACTCTAGCCAAATAATTACCAGTTTCAGATTCAGGTTGGAAGAAGTGAACGCTCTTACATTGTGTTAAATTTTTGCACCAAATTCTCTGACATCTAGTTGTTATTTTTGTTTAATAGGACAAATCCTAAAAGATACTTCAAATCAGGGCATGCTTCATAAAGACAAAGGTCACCGTGAGGACGCAAAATGATATCTCAAATGTTATTGTCTTCCTCCACCAAACATGTGCTGACACCTAAGTGGTTGCATTAAACTTTATATCGAACTCTATTCACCTAAATTAGTGGCTCAAATTACTAACATAAAATATTTTATATCATAACATAAATAATTCATAAATTAAAAACTATTTATTTCATCCGATAGAATAAGGTATTAGTGGAGTAATTAGTTGGAAAGGTGTGGAGAGAAGAAATGGAGAAAGCGGCGAGAGCCTACGCAGAGGTTCTGAGATTGGTGAGGCTCTTACCAAAGGACACCAGGGCTTACTACGCCAAATATGCCCGCGAGAACTTTGTCAATTACCGCCAAGTCGATCCTTCCGACGCCACTGACCTCTTTCAACGCACCTACAATCACTCTCTATGGGTTCTTCACAAGGTTCCTTCTTCCCCTTTCCTACATTCTTTCCAACTCTTCCCAACTCAACATTACAAGATATATTACTCTTTTCATTAATTCCATATCTAATTTTTTTTCCTCATTCCATTGCAGTATTCCATTGATAAATCTGTGGCGGATAAGCTCAAAGGAATATGCTGCAGCTGAAGCTTTCCTGCAACTCAATGCAATGCCACCCAAATGTTTGCTGTTATTTCCCACTCAAGTCCCAGAGCCCGACACACTCTACAACTACCCTACATCCCGGTTTACCTTTCACTCCCTTTAAAATAATTCTTAATTTGTAGTTGTGAGTTTTTTATTTTTTTTTCTTTCAAAGATGAACCCTTTGAAATGAACAAGGCAGCCATTTTCAAAGCCACCCCTATCCTTGCTTGCATTGCATGAATGCATGTTTTACGTTCTACGACAAAATAAAGCTTTAGATGTGTCTGGTTTAAAACATATACAAGAAAAGCTCATTATCCATGCTAGCTAGGATAGATCACGGCGTCTGCAAACCATATCTGCCGTCAGACCAAACTTCGTTTTTATAATACTCTATATTTTGATGATCGTTGAAATGGTTTTTCTATTGTAGTGCATATACTATTTCGCACCAATCATCCAATAGAGTTCACAATTATGCAAGAACACACCATGCTGAATTTTGTTTTACCTAAAAGAGATCTTACCATGACCAACCCAGGAAACCACCTTGAAAGTGCATGTCATGTAACCGTAAAAAAGGTCATGCCTAATTTTGAAGAACCAAACGATGAGTTTTGCGTGGGTTTGTCCCAAGACGCGATTTGAAGGATGAAGATTATATTTTGACTAAAGTTGGAAATATATTTTTGAAAATTTCAATCTATATCAACCAAGAGTAATATTAGACTTGATTTCCTTAAACAAGATGCAAATTTCGAGTTTTATAAATGGAGAAAATATGATTAAAAGGAAACTCCACTGTATACTATCAACCGGATTTTATTACAGTTTCAGTATTCTTTAATTTTTTTTTTAAACTTAAAACAATTTAAATAAGTTTTATGCTTATCCTTTCTCCTGGTTTTTCACATTCTTTCTCTCCTCCCCCATCCCTTTGAATGGTCACGGAGAGCGTTCTTCCAATTCATTTCTCTTTTTCTCACACACATCATATCTTTCCTCCAGTCACTCGGAAGATGTATGAAATTTTATTTTACTTAATCAATTTCTTGGTTAGAATGTATTCATTAATTTGACTTACGAAGTTTTAATGGTCATAGCAAAATTTTTAAATTGTGAGGAAACATATCATTTTGAACTGATTCAAATTTAAAGACTAAACTATTTTATTTTAAATTAAGCGATTATTATTATTTTTTTTCAAATTGAAGACCTTTTTTTCTAAAAAAAGTGGGTAAAAGACAAATTGATTTAAATTTAAGTGATCAGCAAGATATTAAAAAAAAACACTCAATATTTTTTTATATGACATATTGCCTCTAATTATTAAATCTAATTTATTGCTCACGTGAGTTTGGTTGAACAGAGTTAAAAGGGAAGTGCTTAAACAAAATAGGGGGGGGTGTGAAAGTCTACTATAACATAATTAATTATATCAATTTTTAACATATTTTAATAATTAAAAATATTATAGACTACGGAAATCTCATTGCAGATAAGGTTATTGTTTTGTGTCTATTAAATAATTATAATAATAATGAGACATTTGAAAATAATTAAAAAATATTAATAATAAAAAAACTCTTAATAGTAAATAAAAATTATTTTATTTTTCTATTAGTAAAAATAATATTATTTATTTATATATTTTGTGCTCTTTTACCGATCCATTTTCTGTAACAGTGATGCATATGTTATTAGCAAATAATTTAGGACATTAAAAATATTTATTTCTAAAATTTAGAAGAAAAAAATATATTATTTTTAATTTAAAAATTATCCTATGAGACTAAAAAAATAATTAGCATAAATTAAATTGGTACAATAAGAAAAAAGAAAAACTAAAAATTGATGGGTATAGTTTTTATGTAATTTAATTTGTTGCTTCTTCTACGAACAATAAATAACTCCTGTTCAAAAGATCACAGAAGCGGCAGCCACCTGGGTGGGCAATGTTCCTTCACCTCTCCTCTCATCGCCACTCTCTGAGTGTCAGAATGAGTTTAGACTCGTCTCGCTCAGCTAATTCTAAACGAAGCTTCTCTAATTCAATATCTTCCAACCGTTCCAACGATAGCAGTAGAAAGAACACCAAAAAGAAGAAGACAACCACCAACCAGAAAACCCTAGGCGTTGCCTGGGCCTCAAAGTCAAATTCTCATTCCTCCTCACGAAATTCCGCCTTCTCCGGTTTCGCCAGGTTGTATTTATTTATTTATTTCGGTTTTAATATTATCATCAATTCTTATTCGATCTCATTTTAAGAAAAATAGAGGATGTCAATTTTATATGTGCTCTTTAGCCTCAATTTATAAATTGACTCTGGAGTAAATGTAGTTATATGACGGAGAAGAATCGGAAACTACACAACCAGTTTGACGCTGAGGCTTCCGCGTCGTCTTTTAGTGGCTCTACTTCTGGGAGGCCTATATTCAGTGGAGTTTCAATTTTTGTTGATGGTTTCACGGTTCCTTCCAGCCAGGTTAAGCGGTTTTGCCTTTTTCATTTTTTTCATTCTCTGTATCTCTCCCTGATTCCTTGCATTTGTGAACATGGCCGGAAAGTATCACAATTGTATAAACTTACCGTTCCTTGGCTTAGGAATCAATTGTGACTGGATATTGTAAATTTGAGTCAGCTTTAATTTGTAATTTTCTTTAATTGTAAAAAACCAAAGGGTTTACATGACATTAGTGATAAACATGTATCAGGAACTGCGGAGCTACATGCTAAAGTATGGTGGAAGATTTGAGAATTATTTCTCAAGATATCGTGTAACACATATCATCTGCAGTAATCTGCCTGATAGTAAAGTTAAGAACCTCAGGTTAAGTTTCATGCCCTACCTTTAATTTTTGGTTTTGAGTCCTACTCTTTTGCATTTTCTTGATTTAATTATTCGATGCTCCAATACAGAGCCTTCAGTGCAGGGTTGCCAGTGGTGAAACCCACTTGGATTTTAGATTCTGTTGCTGCTAACAGACTGTTAAGCTGTAAGTTTTTGCATTTCTCTTCCACTTGCATTAGTTTCATTTTCTTAAGTAAAAGTTGCATACTTTGTATTATGAGAGAAAGAGGAGGACTATGAAAGAAATAACGTCTACATATTAAAGTTTACTATCTGGTCCTACCTTTTTATTTATTTGCTTATTTAATTCATTTTTTCTTGACGGCATGAATGTTTTCTAAGTCGTTGTATCTCAAGTGATTCAAATTTTGCTTTGATAGGGGTGCCTTACGAGCTTGACCAACTAGCTAATAAACAATCAAAACTTTCAGCCTACTTCACATCGAAGAGTAGTAAAATGCCAGAGGATGCTTTGACAAATTCCCTTTGTCAAGTAGTGTCAGATGTTGGAGATTCATCTGTGATGGTTGGCCACTCAGATTCAGAGGATAGACAATCATCCAAAATTGGGAAGATGACTAAACATAGTGGGCAAATCAGTACTACAGCTGATAATATTGTCCCGGAGAATAATCATGCAATTATGATGGAGGAGCTGAACAGTGTTAGAGTTAAGTCCGATGAAGAGGAGCAAGCAGCTGGAAGCAATGCTGCTACAAAAGATGAGAGAAATGTAAAAGGTGAACTTGAACACACTCATGAAGCAGCTTCTACATCTTTTAGTTCTCACTGCTCATATAAGCAGAATGCAAGAGAATTTCCAAGTTCGTCAGGCACTAAGCCTTCTAAACAGTGTCATTCAACTCTCGCAGACCCTAATTTTGTGGAAAATTATTTTAAGGTAGTAAAGTTAGAACTTAGAAGAATTTTGAATTTTCATCTTGCTTGGTGCAGTGGTGTCTTTCTTGTTGATGGCCCACTTTATTTTCATTGTTATGTGGTTGTTATTGCAGTAATCTGAACTTTTTTGTACTTTTCTGCTAATTATACTGGCAATCAAACATATAAGTCAATGATCATTATTTCTTGCATCTAAAGATAACATATCTTGAACTTCAATAGATAAGGTGGATGAAGTGAATACTCCTGTGCATTATGTTTGAGTTTCCTGTATCAGTAAGAAAGTAAACAAAGATAGAAAAGCAACTGCTAATGTGGGACAGGGGGTATTTACCTTATAATATGTAAACCTATCTCTCATATGCTGGTATGATATGAACTTGCTCCTCACCTTACTTCCACCACATGATTACTTGTCATGTAATCATATTGTTATTGTTACCAGTAATTTAATCTTCTCTGCATTTGACATTATTTTGCACTATCCTGACTGAAGTTTGGTTTATGCAGAGCTCACGATTACACTTTATAGGAACCTGGCGAAATCGGTATAGAAAGCGTCTTTCCACCTTGTCTTCTGGATTTAACAATGAAAATTCTAATATTAGTGCCTCTAATATTTCTCATAATTCAGTCATTATCCATGTTGACATGGTAAGATTTAAATACAAGGATGTATTAAAAAAAATGTTATTTTCAAAGGCTTTTCCCTTTTAGATTTTGGATCATTTAAATTGTATGCCTTTATGCTGCCCCAGGACTGCTTTTTTGTTTCAGTGGTTATCAGGAACCACCCTGAATTGTTGGACCAGCCTGTAGCTGTGTGTCATTCAAGTAATTCAAATGGAACTGCTGAGATTTCCTCTGCAAACTACCCAGCTCGTAGTCATGGTTGGTTAGATGCCAAGTTATATATGATAATATGACTCAGTTAGCTATATTTACTTATTTGTCTTTTTTGTATGTAACTCGTGCTTTTGATCATGTATTAGGTATTAGGGCCGGTATGTTTGTTCGAGATGCCAAGGCTCTTTGTCCCCATCTTGTTATCTGTCCATACAACTTTGAAGCTTACGAGGAAGTAAGAAATAGTAGGGTGTCTATAGTTGAATAGCATATAAAGCAGGATGTCAGAATATTTTATTTAATGTCATCATATCTTTGTATCTTTTTCCCCTTTTAATTGATTTTTACAAATATGTCTTGGACATTTTACAGGTAGCTGATCAATTTTACAGTATATTGCACCAGCATTGTGACAAAGTGCAGGTCTTTTATGATTTGACATTGTTCGGTGCATAAAGTTTTCAGTTGACTTGTCCTTAATGCTGTAATGGCTCTTTGATGCAGGCGGTAAGTTGTGATGAAGCATTTTTAGATGTGACAAATTCAGAGGTTGAAGATCCCGACCTTTTAGCTTCATCAATTAGAGAAGAGATCTATAAGACCACTGGATGTACAGCTAGTGCTGGTATAGCAGGAAATATGCTTATGGCTCGTATTGCTACTAGAACTGCAAAACCAAATGGTCAATATCACATAACTAAAGAAAAGGTATGTTCTGGAGTTTCTTTTATTCATAATTTTTGTCTTTTTTTCATAATTTTCATTTTTAATTTGTGGCATAATGAAGGTATGATGTAAATCATACTACAAGTTTTACATCCTCTTTCTTTGTAATTAATTTTCTGGTATTTTGTGTGGTCATAATAGTGCCATTTTTATGAATTTTGTGCTGAAAACTTTTTCTTATCTTTGGATATTTACAAATTGAAATATTGATGCCAATTGTTGCTCTTGTTTTATTTTGTATTTATGATTGTGGATTTTTTATATTTTAAATAAATTTTAATGAGAGCTTACAGAGTAGTGCTATGCTAGATGTGGAATTCTATTACTCTAGACCTTGAGGCTTTGGATTTTCCTCAGAGGTGCTAATTTTAGGTTTGACCTGTATTTTTGGATGTATTGAAATTGACAATTTACACTTCACCAGAAAAAGTGTATCGTGATTTAAATTGTAATTTTTCAATTTCTATTGTTTGATAGTGTTAGATATGATTAGATATTAGTTGATATTATTTGATATTGTTGAGATATTGTTAGATATTGTTAATCACAATATCAAATAATATCTTTTTATTTACCCTATTTGTATTCTGTTACTCTTTTGAGGAGTACCTTTCTTTATTATAAATACACTGCCCTATGTGTGGTAAATACACAAGGGAAATTAACCCTATACAGTTTTTCCCTATATTCAACATGGTATCAAGAGCTTAAGGTCTCTTGGGATTTTTTTCGGCTCTTCCATCGAACCCGCACTGCCGCCGCCTCCATCGCCGCCGCCGTCGCCACCGCCGTCCGCCGCCGCGTCGCCGTCGCCGAGTAGCAGTCGGACCGCCGAGCACGGGGTTTTGCTCGCCTCCTCCGTGCGACCTCCACCGTGGAAGTTTCGCGGTCATCGGAGCGGCCCACGCTCCCTCACGCGCCTCCCGAAGCCGCGCCACCTTCTCCCGTTCCGCCGTGCGTGGCGGCGCGTCTCGCCGCCGTTCAGGCCGCCGATCTTTGCGCCGGCATCGCCCCCTTCTCCTCTCTCTCGGATCTCGTCCTCGCCGCTCCAATCGGACCTCTTTGGTGTTTTAGGGTTTTTCTCTCTCTTCCTCCATGGCATCTTCCGCCGCCACTTCCAATTCCGAAGTTACCTCTCGTCGGCTCCGTGGGTCCGAGCAATCGTTTTTACTAATTATGTCAATGTGAATTTACCCATTGATAAATTAGATGGTACGAATTATGCAACTTGGGCATCCGATATTAGACTTTGGCTTGAGAGTCGGGGGTATGTTGATCATCTTACTACCAAGGTAGATGATGTTCCTTCCAATGATCGTGTCCGTTGGAAGAAAGTTGATGCTCATATATGTATGGTTCTCAAGAATACCATCCAATCTTCTTTAAAACAAATTTTTCGATCGTATGGCACATGTTATGACGTTTGGGAACAAACCAAATTATTATACACCAATGACACTCAACGTCTTTATGGTGTTTGTTACAATCTTCTTGATGTTATTGCTCCTCGAGATAAGGATCCTGTGGCGGATTATGTGGATCCTCCTTCGTCTGTACCTTCGGACAAATCCGCTATCTTCAATGATTTTCTTCAATGGTATGAGGATCGAAAGCCCTCCAGTTCCACTACTTCGTTGCCCACACAGGTACATCTTTTGTCGGTCCGACTCACTCTTCTTCTATTGGCCCTTGGGTTCTTGACTCGAGCGCCACCGATCACATCACCGGTAACAAATCCTTATTTTCCTCTTTCACTTCTTCTCATAATTTACCCTCGTTACAATGGCTAATGGGTCTACAACTTTAGCTCATGGTGTTGGAACGGTTACTCTTTTTCCTCGTTGTCCATTGATAATGTTTTGTATGTACCCGGGTCCCCCTTTAACTTATTATCCATTAGCCGTCTAACTCGATCTCTTGATTGTGTTATCTCTTTTACCAAAACTTCTGTTTCCCTACAGGACCGGAGCTCGCAAAGAGTGATTGGCACCGGATGTGAGTCACATGGATTTTATTATCTTCAACCTTCTCCACATGTTGGCACAGCTTATGGAGTCTCCTTCTCTCCTTCATGCTTAGCTTGGTCACCCTAGTCTGCGCAAATTACAGCAACTTGTTCCAAGCTTATCCCAGCTTGTCCAATTTGGTATGTGAGTCCTGTCGGTTAGGCAAACATAGTCGTACTTCCTATTCTCGTAGTGTTTCCCAGACGTGCTTCATCCCCCTTTGCCTTAGTTCACTCCGACATTTGGGGACCCAGTCGTGTTAAGTCTAATTTAGGTTTTCAATATTTTGTTACTTTTATTGATGATTTCTCTCGTTGCACTTGGTTATTTTTAATGAAAAATCGTTTTGAGTTGTTTTCTATATTCCAAAACTTTTATCATGAAATTAAAAATCAATTTGGTGTCTCTATTCAAACTTTTCGAAGTGATAATGGCCGTGAATATCTTTCAAACTCGTTTAAACAATTTATGGCTTCTCATGGCATTCTTCATCAAACTTCCTGTGCTTATACCCCTCAACAAAATGGGGTGGTCGAGCGCAAGAATAGACACCTTATTGAAACAACCCGTACTCTTTTAATTCATGGTGAGGTTCCTCAACATTTTTGGGGTGATGCTCGTTCTTACCGCCTGTTATCTTATTAATCGTATGCCCTCTTCGGCTTTAGATAACAAAATTCCCCATTCTATTTTATTTCCTCATGACACTCTCCATCCTTTACCTCTGAAGGTTTTTGGGTCTACCTGTTTTGTCCACAATTTTGATCCTGGTCATGATAAGTTATCTCCTCGATCACACAAATGTGTTTTCTTAGGATTTACTCGATCCCAAAAAGGATACAAGTGTTTTTCTCCTTCTCTTAATCGCTATTTTGTGTCTCGTCGATGTCACCTTCAATGAGTTTTCCTTTTACTTTAAGGACCCTTCCCTACCTGCTGAGTCTCCATCTCGCTACAGTTCTCATTCCTGTTCTCATTGATCCTTATGTTGAGGACCATCCACCATTAGCCCCTCCTCCTCCACCACCCCTTCAGGTTTATAGTCGCAGACCTCGCCCACAACAGTACGCCACATGACTCACTCCCAGTGCCAAATACTCGCCTCCTCCGGCTCCGTCCACGTAGTCCGACCTTCCTATTGCCCTTCGTAAAGGTACACGTTCTACTCGTAATCCTTCTCCACATTATACCGCTTTAAGTTATCATCGAATTTCTTCACCATTTTATACCTGTCTCTCGTCTATTTCTTCTGTGTCTATTCCTAAATCTGTCTCTCGAAGCCTTAGCCCACCCTGGTTGGCGTCAGGCCATGCTAGATGAACTCGGTGCTCTTCAGACTAGTGGAACCCGGACGCTTGTCCCATTACCATCTCGGAAAATCTGTTGTTGGTTGCAGGTGGGTCTTCGCTATCAAGGTTGGTCCCGATGGTACTATTGATCGCCTCAAAGCTCGCCTTGTAGCCAAAGGCTATACCCAAATTTTTGGGTTGGATTATGGTGATACTTTCTCTCCAAGTGGCAAAGATGGCTTCTGTTCGTTTATTCATTGCCATGGCCGCTATTCAACAATGGCCTCTTTATCAACTCGGATGTCAAAAATGCTTTCTTGAATGGCGATTTGCAAGAAGAGATTTATATGGAGCAACCTCCTGGATTTGTTGCTCGGGGGAGTCTTCCGGATTGGTATGTCGTCTTCGCAAATCTTTATATGGCCTAAAACAGTCTTCTAGGGCCTGGTTTGGAAAATTTAGCAAACGTTGTTCAACAATTTGGCATGACTAGAAGTGAGGCGGACCACTCGGCCTTTTACTCGTCACTCGAATGTCTGGATGTATCTATTTGATAGTGTATGTCGATGACATTGTTCTTACAGGTAGTGACCATCATGGCATCTCTCGGATGAAACAACACCTTTGCCACCATTTTCAAACCAAAGATCTTGGCAAACTCAGATATTTCTTGGGTATTGAGGTAGCACAATCTACCGATGGCATTGTTATATCTCAAAGAAAGTATGCATTGGATATTCTGGAGGAAACTGGGTTGATGAATTCAAAGCCTCGTTGACACACCCATGGATCCTAATACCAAACTCTTGCCAAATCAGGGGGAGCCAATGTCAGATCCCGAACAGGATAGAAGATTAGTTGGAAAATTAAATTATCTTACGATTACTCGCCCGACATTTCCTTTGCAGTCAGTATGGTGAGTCAATTCCTCAATTCTCCTTGTCAAGATCATTGGAATGCAGTCATCCGTATATTGAAGTACATCAAAAAGTCTCCTGGAAAAGGTTTGGTGTATGACTCCCATAATCATACAAGAGTTGTCTCGCTATTCGGATGCTCGATTGGGCAGGATCTCCCTCTCGATAGAAGATCTACATCCGGGTATTGTGTTTCCATTGGTGGTAACTTGATCTCATGGAAAAGTAAGAAACAAAGTGTTGTGGCAAGATCCAGGTGCGAAGCGAGTATAGAGCTATGGCCTCAGCTACCCGTGAACTTATTTGGCTCAAGCAATTGCTTAAAGAGCTACAATTTGGAGATGTCACTCAAATGACACTAGTGTGTGACAATCAGGCTGATCTCCATATAAGCTCTAATCCTGTCTTTCATGAGAGGACTAAACACATTGAGATTGATCTGCCATTTTATTCGGAAAAGATTATGTCCGGAGACATCAAGACTGAGTTCGTTAACTCATGTGATCAATTAGCAGATATTTTCACTAAGTCTTTACGGGGACCTAGGATGGATTATCTTTGTACCAAGCTAGGCACATACGATTTGTATGCTCCAGCTTGAGGGGGAGTGTTAGATATGATTAGATATTAGTTGATATTATTTGATATTGTTGAGATATTGTTAGATATTGTTAATCACAATATCAAATAATATCTTTTTATTTACCCTATTTGTATTCTGTTACTCTTTTGAGGAGTACCTTTCTTTATTATAAATACACTACCCTATGTGTGGTAAATACACAAGGGAAATTAACCCTATACAGTTTTTCCCTATATTCAACAGATAGCATCTTAAAGATCAACTTATTTAAAAAAAAAAAAAAGGGACACTGATTGCATCAGGCTAATTGTGATTCTAGCTGCTGTAGTTCACTCGGATAAGTAAATGTACTTATACTTTGTGCAGCTTATGTATTTTGTTTCTAAAGTTGATGAATGGAATGTGTCAATGTCTTACCTTCCTTATTTATTTAGTTTTACCTTTCCAGGTTGAAGATCATTTATACCAACTCCCAATTAAATCACTTCCAGGAATAGGGCATGTTTTACAGGAAAAATTGAAGAAGCAGAATATTTACACATGTGGAGAATTGCGCATTATTTCTAAGGTTTTACTATTCATTCACTTAATTTAGTTTATTCTGATTTTCCATATATTATATTATGAAAGTTGTTGTTCCTTGAGTTTCTTCTAAAGTTCAATAATAATGTTTTCTTTCAGTCCCTTTTAAGTGCTCTTCCTCTGGTTTTAGACATTTATCTTTTCCCTGAGTTGGGGAAGGACGTGATTTGACTCATGAATTTAGAACCCTTGCTAAAAGAGAATAGAAACTAGTGAGAGAATATTATTAACTTGTTTAAGATTTGAAAACTTCATGAAAAATCATAATCATTGAAAATTAAAGGTTCATTGAAGATAAAAACGGCTTAAATTTAAGGAAACAGTTTTCGAGAACTACCACCCAATTTTATTTAAGTATTTAATCATTATCATAAACTTGTAGTGTTTTAACTTGGTTCTTCTACTTGCATACTTTGTATGTACTGTAGTCATGTTCTGCTTCCTTTTTTGACCAGTACTTGAGAATCATTTTTAATATTTTATAGTGTACTGTTATTCATTTGCATATGCAGGCCTCACTGCAAAAGGACTTTGGTACAAAAACAGGAGAAATGCTGTGGAATTATTGCAGAGGAATTGATAACCGGTTAGTTGGGAGCTTTCAGGTAGGGAATATTTATCTAAAAACCAGACTTTGTTCCTTGTCATATTGATTTGACATGCTTTAAAATAATTTGGATGCATGTATATATGAACTCTGTGAAAGAGAGACACAGAAAGAGAGATATATATGCCTCTGTTTGCGTGCATGTGCATGTTGCTTCTTTTATATTTCCTTTCACTTTATGTGTCAACTTGTTGTATAATGTTATAATGTATGCACGTGCATGCACATGTTGCTTCTTTTCTTTTTCATTCTTTCTCTATGTGAATGCATGCTTGCCTGTTCTTTTCTTTGTCCTCCCATTTTGTGTTATGCCATTTTTTTTTCTATAACAATATCCTTTTTCTTTTATCTATTCCAGTACTTGTCTAGGGATTGGCTCACAGTTGTAAGAGTGAACAATGACTGAGGGTTATAAATTGTCAGGTTAATATGAATAATAATACCAAACTCAGTCATTGTTAATTTGAAAACTATTGATTGTGCTATGCTCCACAACATGATATAAAATAATTAGTGGCTTCATATGTTGCTTTTAATTTTCCAACTCAAATTTGTTATCATGTCCTTTTTCCTCCTGTGAATATTGTTTTTCCTGATAAATTTCTGTTTAAGATGACAATATCTACAATTCTGCAGGAAAGCAAGTCTGTTGGTGCTGATGTAAATTGGGGCGTAAGGTTCAAAGATATAAAAGATGTTAGTAATCTCTTATACTATGTGTCAAATTTTTATATTTCTAAACCTTACAATATCAAAAATTATCTTTCAAAATGTTGACATAAAAGTTATCCCAGTGTGAACACTTCCTAATAAACCTTTGCAAGGAGGTCTCATTACGATTGCAGTGTTGTGGAGTGCAGGGGCGCACTTTCACTCTGAAGGTATTGGTTTACTTTCAGCTTTATAGGCTTTATTTTTTAGATTATTCAGATATCAGCTTTCTGTTTTAGCTGGCAAGCTTCTTTTCATGTCCTGTTAGATTTCTGAAACTGTCATGTATTATTATATCTATTATAATGTTTCTTATATCTTCTAAGTCTACAAGATTAATATTTGTAAATGTTCCCATAACTATGCTTTAGATTAAAAAGAGAAGGAAAGATGCTGATGAGCCTGCAAAGTTTATGGGTTGTGGGGACTGTGAAAATCTGAGTCACTCTGTGACGGTAATTATTGAAAATGACATGTGTATATTAAACTGTCATATTTTCTTTGTACAAGTGTTTTATTAATTTTTTTAAGGTCTGATTTTGTGTTTGACATTCTCATCGTAGATTCCTCTTGCTACTGATAATGTGGAAATACTCCAAAGAATTGTAAAGCAGCTGTTTGGATGTTTTTACATAGGTATCTTAACTCAGGCCTGCTTATTCCTTTGGTTTATGTCATACTTGGGATAGGATATTTCTGGCTCAATATTTATTTTTCATTAAAAGTTCTATCATAGAACTTTCAAATGTGAAAGTATTGTTTTTCAATTAGCTAATCCAAACATGCATGTTTTTTCTGCCATGTTAATGAATGTATAACTAAGCAGTATGGAATATATTGGTTTATATCTAGATATGAGAATCATTTACGGCATTTGCTTTTGTTAATGATAGAGATTGACCCTGTTCAATTCAACGAAGGGTAGAGGAGGGAAAATAAATTAATTTGCTATATACCCTTTTTACAAAAGACAAATAAAACCATTATAAGTATTTACCCTCAAATCCCCCCAATATTAGAGGGAAGGAAAATACGAGAATGGGGGGTTTGCTCCCCTTTCCTCTCCTCAAAATCATTGAACCAAACAAGTTATTGAAGAAGCAACCACCTCATTAAGTAATTAGATGAGGTTAGCTACATGGATCAATTGATCCCGTCACTCCATATAGTTTTTGCCATATGCACTCTCATGAAATATTCTTCTTCGTTCTTCTACTCCTACCTAATAGAGATTTAAAGAAAACATAGTACTATGTTAATAAAATATAGAATATGAGATTGTAGCATAGATGTGGAGTTAAAAGGTTAGACTTGAAAATAAAACATATATTCTATAACTTTGTCATTTATAGCAGTAAGTACAACATATATAGAGTATAGACATGAAATGAAACATATATTTGATAGGGACTTTGGATATTAAGTGGTGCTTAAGTCTCGCATCAAGTAGTATGGGATGTTTGGTGAGTATTTAGTGTTTGATTTTCCCCTTTCAATAGCTAACTTTTGAGGGTGAGTCCCAAAGTGCTTGTCAATTGTTGTATGAGCTGGTTATTGGCGTCTTGAAAAGAGCTACCTACAAATAGTTCTAACCAGTGGAGGGTTCTGACGAACAAGGAAGTTGAGTGATGCGTCACTAAGTAAAGTTTCATAGAGTGAAAGCTGCTTTGACTATGATTCTCAGGGGCAGTGCTATGATAGAGATTTGGGTATTATGGGTGCCTCTCACATCAAGTAGTATGAGATACGTACTTGGTGGAGTATTTAAGGGTTTGATTCTACCCCTTTAATAACTAGTTGTTGGAGGTGGGTTTCCAAGTGTTGGGTGCTTATCAAAATTTTTGTATTTATGTTAATGTATAGTAGTAGGTACAACATATATATAGAGATTGTCCTTTAGCTTCTCAACAATCTCTTAGGTCCCATTTTTCCCTGTTGCACTCATCTCATTTATGGCTTGAATCCACTTCTCGTCCTTTAAAGCTTCTTGTATTGATATGGGAATCCTAATAGAATGAATAGCCTTATCTTAATTTAAGATTTTAAGACGGCCATTGATCCTTATAATTGTATTAGAGCTTATATTATCAAGTGGCTAGGATTCCATACTTTCCACATACATTCTTCATAATTAAAATTAAAATTTCATTTGAAGGTGTAGTTGGCCAGTGCTTCACACATGACACAAGTTCAATGTGTTAGTTTTGCAAGAGGGCTGTGGTAGAGATGTTAAGCCATTCTTTTAGGTGGATAGCTGATGATAGACCAGAGTTGGTATTGGCCTTTGCCTTATAGTGAAAGTTTCATTAGAGACTTAGATGAACGACTTTAGGCTGCATATTGTGTACTATATTCTAAAACAAATTCTTACATGGGGAGTTGGTTGGTGGTTATGCCTTTGGACTTCATATTGTAATTTTATGATGCTATTTTCATCATGAACATGTTATTTAATGTTTCAGCCTTGAGCCTTATAAGAAAATCCATATTTGTTCTGTACCGTTGAGATATGATGTTTTCTATCTTTCCTTAGACTAGGGTTAAGTTAGCTGCTAAAGCCATTAAATGTGTCTTCTTAGGGTACTTTCGCCTCCACAAAGGGTACAAATGTTATTCTTCATCCACCAAAAGGTATTACATGTCTGCTGATGTCACCTTCCTTGAGGAAACACCCTTCTTTTCCTCCTCCATGGAGAATGATTCCTCTATTCAAAATGTTCTTCCTATACCCTTATGTGATCCATTTATAATACCTGATCCTTCACCAATTGAACCTACAGGACTCAATGATTCTCCTCCTCTTCTTATACCCTCATGTGATCCACCTACACCTTTATCAGATTATGCAGATAATCGTGATTCAGAACCTTCTCCATCAGATTCTCATACCATGGATCCTTTGACCTCCTCTCCCACTTCTGATTCTGGGTGGCCTATTGCACTCAGAAAATGTATTCCTTCCTCTCAGAATCCCTTTCCTATTTATAACTTTTTAAGTTACCATCGTTTGTCTCCTTCCTATTCATTTTTTGTTGTCTCTTTGGCTTACACCACTATTCCTAATACTGTCCATGAGACTCTTGATCACCATGGATGACAACAAACCATGATGAAATGCAGGCTCTTGAGCACAATGACACTTGGGAACTTGTTCCTCTTCCTCCTGGCAAAAAGGTTGTGGGCAGTAGGTGGGTCTATGCAGTTAAATTTGATAATAATGGTAAAGTGGATCGGATCGTCTTAAAGCTCTTTTAGTAGCTAAAGGCTACACTCAAATTTATGGTCTCGACTACTGTGATACCTTCTCTCCAATAACTAAGATTTTCACTATTCGTCTTTTCCTTGCTATGGCTGTGATTTGTCATTGACCCCTTCACCAACTGGACATTAAAAATGCCTTTCTTCATGGTGACCATGAGGAAAAGATTTATATGGAGCAACCTCTTGGCTTTGTTGCTCAGGGGAAGTCTAGTTTAGTGTGCAAGCTACACCGATTTCTTTATAGGTTGAAGCAGTCACCCTGAGCTTGGTTTGGGAAATTCAATCATGTTGTACAATTGTTTGGCTTGAAAAGGAGTGAAGCAGATCACTCAGTGTTTTATTATCGTTCCTCTTCAGGAAAGTATGTGTATCTTATGGTTTATGTTGATGATATTGTTATTACTGGCAATGATTATACTAAAGATCAACCAATTGAAGAATCATCTATTTGTTTACTTCCAAACCAAAGACCTTTGGTCAATTGAAGTATTTCCTTGGTATTGAAGTGACTCAGTCAAAGGAAGGTGTGATAATCTCTCAAAGGAAGTATGCCCTTGATATTCTGAAGGAGATAGGTTTAACAAATTGTAAACCCATTGATACCCCGATGGACCCTAATTAGAAATTGATGGGAGATAAAGGAGAAAAGTTGTCAAATCCAGAAAGATATAGGAGGTTGGTTGGTAAACTCATTTATCTTACTATTGTCCGACCTGATCTTTCTTATGCAGTTGGAGTAGTTAGCCAATTTATGCAAAATTCTTGTACTGATCACTGGGACGCCTTGATTCGCATTATGAGATATATTAAAGGGGCCCCAGGACAATGATTGTTATATGAAGATAAGGGTAATATTCAAATTCTAGGTTATTGTGATGCAGATTGGGCTGGTTGTCCCATTGATAGAAGATCTACTACTAGGTATTGTATCTTTATTGTAGGGAATTTGATTTCTTGAAAGAGTAAAAAGCAAAGTGTTGTTACTCGATCTAGTGCAGAAGTTGAATATAGATCTATGACACTTGCTACCTGTGAACTTGTGTGGATCAAACAATTCCTTCAAGAATTAAAATTCTGTGATAATGGGCAGATGAAGTTGTTTTGTAATAATCAAACAACTTTCCATATTGCCTCCAATCCAATCTTTCATGAAAGAATAAAACATATCGAGATTGATTGTCACTTTGTTAGAGAAAAGTTAGTGTCTAAGGAACTTGTAACTGAATTTGTAAGCTCCAATAAGCAACTGAAGAACATTTTAACTAAATCCTTGAGAGGTCCTAGAATTTAGTTTATTTGTTCCAAGCTTGGTGCATACAATTTATATGCTCCAGCTTGAGGGGGAGTGTTGAGATATGATGTTTTTCTATCTTTCCTTAGACTAGGATTAAGGGTTTGGGCTGAGGCTCATATCCTCTCTATTGTATCTCTTTTATCTATAAATACAATGTAGCACTGCCTTTTGACATTGTATTGGAAACCCTAAATAAGTTTCTCAAGTTGTACAAATTTATTTGGATATATTAACATGATCATCTTGTCCTATTTTTTATTTCATGCAGATGTCAAGGAGATTCGAGGTATTGGCTTGCAAGTTTCCAGACTTGAAAGTGAAGAAGCTTCTAAACAAGGTATCTGTATTATTCAAAGTGAATCTTAACCAGCTGTGCTGGAATAATATATTTTTTGGTTGTGCAGATAATTAAATTTATCTGTAATGGCTGTTGTTGAGATCTGCTACAATGTTCTTTATCTTTCCATCTGTTTAGTATTGTAGAATTTTCTTACTGTTTTTCTTTGGTTTTGAACTTTGCTTTTCTTATTTTACATAATTTCTCTTTAGTTGTATAATGTTATTTACTTCATGAAGGTACAGCAAAATATTCTTTGAAATCATGGCTCACTTCTGGATATGCAAGTGTAGAAAATCAGAAATTTCCTATAGGTAATTTCACCCCCTATTTGTTCACTTTTAAATTTCCTCATCTAGTGGGATAAGGCTTTTGTTGTTGGAAAATGTTGTCACACATGGTTTCTTGTTATTATCTGGATATATTGATTTGACATATATATAAATTTTCATATTTTTTGTTCATTTTGAGGTTTTAGTAATGATGGAATTAATGCAAAAGCTTTGGTGTTTTCTCTTGCTTCAGATCATGACAAGCAGAGCAGGGATAGCACGTCCAGTCATGCATGTATAGATCTGCGAGAGTCTTCAGTGGAAATGGACATAAAAATACCAAATAATGAAGCTAGAACTGATCCAATTTCAACACCCCCTCCTTTATGTAAACTTGACATGGAAGTTATAAGGAATCTTCCCCCAGATGTATTTTCAGAATTAAATGAAATTTACGGAGGAAAGTTAATTGATTATATTGCTAACAGGACAAACACAAGTGAGAGTTCTAGCCCTTCAGGAAACTCATCTTTGGAGCAAGAAGGTAAGCTTTTCTCTGTTTCATTTCTGTAACCCTAATTTGGACATATACTCTACTCAAATGTTCCAACATGCTTTAAATTTGTTTTTGTTGGCAGCAATAAACAATGAAGAGGAACTTCCCTATTCTGAGCCGATTCCCCAAAACAATTTATTATCAACAAATAAGGTAAATAATTTCCCCTATTTTTTTATCGTATCATATCTTGAATGGTCCTTTAGGAGTGGTTTTCATATTTTGTTACATTTTTTCCTTATTTGATTTTGATTCGGATTCTAAACTAGCAGCATATATGGGGTTAGAGTTTTGAATCTTGTATCACATTGTAAATTATAACAAACAAGAGATATTATTTATCATTAATATTCTCTCATTTTCTCCATCCCTACCAAAACTTCTATACTTTGCATTTCCATGTATTGTTAATCAAATTATAAAGCTGAATTGACCCATCTTCCTTGTTTATATTTTATATTTTACAATATCAATTTATGTTACAACTTCTATTTGGTGGTTTTGCAATTGGTACTACAGTTACTCACTAGAATGGAAGAAATATTAGTCTTTTAGTTTTTTATTTGTTTACTGCTCTATTTATCTAAAAACGTTGTATTTAGCATCATATGTCATGTTTTACATCCAGGCAAAGCAGTATGTGTCGGACAATAATGAAGGTGAAGCAGTACCATATCCAGCGTGTGAACCCTGTTTCAAGGTTACACACCATTCTACTTTTGAAAATGATGATTTATTGCCTTCTTCTTTTAGTCAAGTTGATGGTTCAGTGTTTCAACAATTGCCTGAGGATTTGAAAGCTGTCATTGTTGAGCAGCTTCCTGCACACAGGAGGCCAGAGATGTGCTCCAATGTTGTTGTGATCCCTCCTCTTGAAAACAATTCATTGTCAGTAGGCGTTGAAATTTCTGAGAATTCTCCTGGATCTAGTTATCATGACAGTCTATGGGTTGGGAATCCTCCAAACTGGGTTGGGAAGTTTAAAGTTAGCAGTTGCTTAATTTTAAAGAAACTAGCAGAAATGTATTTCAAATCAGGGTTGGCTAGCACATTTTCTTCAGTTTTGCACCAAATTATATCTGAGTTCTTTGAGCCAAATCTGACCCAGCAGTTTTCTGATGAAACTGTTAACATTATGTGTGAGCTACTAAGGCAGTATATCAAAGTGAAGATAGAAAGAGATATTGAAGAGATTTATATTTGTTTTCGGCTTCTGAAAAGGTATGTTAATGTTGCAAGTTAGTATGACACCCTTTTGTAAGGTTTATCATTGTTTTCATACATAATCATGCACTTTTATCCTTATTCTCCCTACGTTTTATTTTTATTCAATTTGTTTGTTAGATTTAGTCCTTTAGTGTTTATGGAGATTATGCTAAACTAGACCTAGAGGCTGGAATAGATTAAAAAGAGGTTAGTTAATTGGTAGCATACTTGCTTCTGTGTGTATGTATCATGGACCATCTTTTGGCTCATCCAGTAAAGTCATGTGAGATGGGAGTTTTGGTAAATTCCTCAGAATTTTGTTAGATATTGAATTTGATTAAATACAAAATTACACAACTATTAAAAAATAATGTGAAAGCTGTGGTAATATTTCAAAATCATTTTACTTCCTAAAGTAATGTTGTGATAGTCTTTGGAGTAACATAGAATTTGTTTTCAGGTTTGCAGCCAAGTCCCAATTTTTCTTACAAGTATATAATAGTGTATGTCCTTACCTTCAGGTATGCCTTCAGCTTACTTTCACTTTTACCATTGTCTGCTGCTTATCAATCAAACAACACATTCATTAAAACGGGGCAAAAGCAGGCAGGGCACAGGGTTGTGTGTGCTGGGACACCTGAAAAATTTTAGCAGGGTCCAAATTTAGTTATGGACTAGTTCGTACTTAACAAAAAAAATATATTTAAGGGAACTAGTATTTGTTAGGCTTGTTTAAATGTAGAAATTACAATTTCAAAGTTAAGAAAAGTGGTGTGTTTCTTTGTAAAAGATGAAACTTGGCTGATCCACTGAACATTACAAATTACAAAGAGAAGGATAAACTCCTAAATAAAATTACAAAAAAAAAAAAAAATCAAGAAAAATAAAATAAATGGAATGAACCTAATCCACAAAATATTTGTTTGGAATAGGCCCATGTACTTTACACCAAATAGTGGCCAAATGCCTAATCTTATTCTGAATTAAGTGACATGCCAAAGAGTCGTGTGTAGAAACATAGTTTTTCTCCAACCAAATGAACCCAATTGTAGCATAGATTGCAAATTGCCAATTAAGTTTTAGTTTCTAAACTTGAACCAAAACCATAAAAGATGGTAATCAATAATTGGTCCAAGGACACACCTAACATTCATAGAAAATTCCAGTCAAGGTGTTCCTTTAAGTGTATCTTCAAATTCTCTGCGGTTTCTCTTATCATGTTTGTTAATTCTTTTTATGTTCCTAATAAGTTTCTGTTCATCTGAAATACTTTGATGTTGAATTTGAATCCTCTAAAGGGTCGCTTTTGAGGAAAAAGTGTAGAATTACAACCATAGATTGGAAAATAAGCTGATGATATTATGATAAAATCATGCACATGTATAGCAAACATTGGAACAACATAGTTAAGAAGAATGGGCTAAACCAGTTGGTTTGGCCTCTTAGATGGGGAGTTGTTAACCTTGCTGGTCCAGTCAAAGTATGAAAACCTCATAACAAAAAGTAAAAGCGAAACCCTGGTGCATTGCATGTCAAAATTGATTACCAGTTCACATTGAATAATTTTTTAGATCAACTTGTTTGGAACTAAAGCAAGAGGCTCAAGTACATCAAGACCAGAGAAGAAAAATATGCATTTTAAGGGCCTCCTCTGGGCTTTTAATAACTACTACTATTGACTTCATCTTTATGAGAAGCTGTACAATTCTTTAAACTTCAGCTTGATTTTTACTAGTCTATGCTGAAGACATAATTATGTGTATAAATATATTGTTGGAAATGGGTTGAAACACATGGTTTATAACGTCATTTTATATTAATATGGAGTTGTGTAGTTGAAAAACATGGTTTCAGCATATGCTTTTTTTTTTTTTTTTTCTCTCTATTAATACAGTACTCTGACTCAAATTTTGTAGGCAGCTGTTGATGACAATTACGGAGGGACTTTATTTTTACCATCATAGTAGCACTCAAACTAATCAAATTCTTTCCTTGCTATGCTGAACTTGCGAAGTTCACCAGTGTAACTGTATATACCAATGAGGTCATACCAATTGAAAAGTTGCTATTCACGACTGATGTGCTGCAGAGTATGTCTGACTTTATTGTGATACCTAAGCATTTTCTTCAGTATATGTGCTTATCTTCATGAATCTTGCATTTCTAATCAGTTAATTAAACATTCAACTAGTTGATAAATTTGATATTTTAATTTGCATGTGGGGCTTTTACTTTCTGTTCAACATGTATGAATCGTTCTTTCTGTCTTTAACATAGATATCATTGCATGTAGCCAACTAGTACGCATAGGTTTATTCCCGTTGCACAACAGCCCAATAACTTGCCAACATTCTTTATATTTTTAAGGGTTGTGTATTTTCATTGCAGTATGTTAACATTTCTCTTTAATAATTTCTATTATAAAATAAATGGTTGCCTCTTTGAAACTCAGAAAAACTGTAGGCCAAAAAACTTGTGTGTTCTCTTGCTAGAGAATACTCGGATATAGTCTTGGAATTTTGGTTTGAGCTTAATCTCAAAAACTAATTATGGGTGAGGGTTGTTCTCCAGTTATATACATCATATTGGTACCATCTATATATTCAATGTGGGATTATGGTTTTCCTACTACATTTCCTCACAGCAAGCATTATTGGGTTTGGTGCACAGATAAAATAAGGTAGGCTACCCAATAGATTTAGGATATGATCTGATATTATAGAATTTGAATATAAAGATTAATTCAACCCCAAAGGATAGCTCATAGGATGAGAACTTCCCCTTATTTATACACAATACAGGACTATGATTTTTCCGTAAACACGGACAAAGTTAGAGCTGTACAATTCAACAGCTTAGATTTTACTTGATTTGAATGTCCATCTATACTAAGTTGTGAGTTTTACTGCTTTTAATGACCAGACAATTTACTTATCAACTCCATTGTCAGCTTCTGCTTTTTATTTATCCTTTTTTACTAGATAATGCTCATGATATTAATTATTAGACTTATTCTAGCATTATGAATACCATTTATAGCTGTAAGCAATATATAACTTTTTCATCATTAATTTTCTCACGCCAATTCTTTGTAATGCAGGCTCCTTTCTTCCTCATCCCAACTCTTACAATAGACAGAGAAATTGAGATTTTGCTTGTGGCTCAACAACACTGGCATAACTGTTGAATCATAAATTATTGTTGCAGTTGCAGTTGAGAAGGGTATATTTAGTCGTCTTGGAGAACCATATGACAAAATTAATAGAGAAGCTGCTTGTATAATTCGATACTACTTTACTACTAGCAAAAAGAGGTAATTTTCTAGCACAATCTGCGTAAATAATTTGGTTTGGTTTGATGTGTTATATATAGATTTATTGATCTTTTTCTGTCTGCATAACATAGTAAGAAGGGAGGGGTGACTCATTTAGATGGATTTTTTCTGGCATAGATTTCTATGGATGCACTCATCTTTTATAATTATGATTGAAATTGTGCATTTATCTCTTTCCCAAATAACTTGCGTTTTATGATCTGCAGTTGCTGAACGTCAAATCGAAAATATTAGTTGGAATTCTTGGTTCACTTAGGTGATACGAAATTTTGGTATATATCTGTAAATGCTGAAGGATCAAGCCTAGATTGTTTTGAAGGCTTCGTGTTTTATCCAGTCCACAATATAATTTTTATGTATTTAATCATCAATAGTTTTTAACAGATTTGGGTTATCTAAGGACATGGACAGGATGTCACGCTGAAATGGAAGGACTTTAGCTCATTCTACTTAAAAAGGAAGAAGATCTTAATTTTCTGCAAGAAAAGACACGTAACTTGATGGGAACCAGTGGGCATTAACACCAAATCCCAGACTTCTCTTGAAAGAGTAGTTTTCATGCCATCAACTATTGGGATAATATGAACATCCACTCCGTTTTGGAGTGGCTTGAGGTGGAAGGAAGAGAGACTCGAGGGGGAAAAAAACGTAATCAGACGAAGAGTGAGTAATAGATGTGATTGGATGTAATAGAGAAGTGAATATATGTTTGTACATTGCATCAGATTGGAAGCACCGTGAAGCGGATTTGGTCCACCAAATTCATTCTTCCAAGAGCGGCTTTTTAACTAATTGGTAGTAAAATATACGATTTTTTTTTTCTTACAAGAATTGTTCATGTCAAGCGGATTGAGAGATTGTTGACTTTTGAAGAAATGCCATCCTATCCTCCACTGCTCAAAACTAAACGCACAGTAGACATGTTGAATTGAAGCCCTTCAAATCTCTCATTTTTATATTTTAATTGTCAGATAAGGTTTTAAGGCTGAAAAGTAACTCGATGTTACTCTCTTACAACATAGAAGGTATTATTATAAAATATTCCTAACATCTATGGCTTAGACAATTAAAACAACACAACTTTTCTTGCCATAAATTAAGAACAAAAACATTTTTTTTCTTCTTTTAGAAAATGTTTATATTTACAGCTTTTTGTTTTTAAAATTTGGTGAACAAAATATTTTTTTTATGCAAACATTTAAACATTTGAAATAGAAATAAAATTAAAGATGATATCTTTGTGTTATTTTTCAAACATTATTTATTCATATTCCGGCTCAACAGAAAAAGAATGAATTTGATGTAGTCACACGACTTGTATCTTGTGTTATAAAATCTGTAGCTATATTAATATAATTGATAATTCAGTTTTTATATATTTATAGGTAAATGTGAGCTCAGCCGGTTAAGCTGATCTTTGTTTGACTAGAATTAGTTGGATATTCTAAAAATAACTTGATTTTCTTTACTGAAACATGATTCAGTTTCTAATATCTCTATATGTAGCATACACATGAAAACGAGGAAATTTGTGAAGGCTTTGGTCAGAGATAGATGCAGTTGCGTGGTTGGTAGCTTTTCTTAGATTTGGTGCAAACATGTATAAAACCTGCCAAATCTTGCAAGTCAAGATTGATGGACAAGGCAAACAATTTGTGCACACTGCACCATCATTTCTATCTCATTTTCATTGCTCATTACATAACTCTCTAATCATAATTTTATTAACATCAACGTCTATTAATTATTTTAATGTTATAAAAATGTTCATCCATAAACAATGCTTTGTATTAACAACGTACATAATTAATAAATACTTTCTCCTTGAAAGAGCTGAGGTTAATAAAATGTTATTATTTTATAAGTAATAACTAAAACGAACTCGGTGAAAGATATTATCTTTTACAAAATGAGAAAATAATTATTTTTTTACGAAAGCGGGGTGTTTATATTGGAGTCAGATTCTATTCTAAATGGCATCCCTCCATTTTAATGTCGAAATCAACGGAGAGTAAAGACGCGTGAATTAGAGTTTGAGGAAAAATAACAATTATAAGAAAGAAACTTACATTGATTAAAGTAACCTGAAAAGACTAAATAATTTATTGCATTTTAATTATAAATTATCATTTATATTAAGTTTATTATTGAGTTTGAAAATAGTCGTAGTGAAAATCATAATGAAACTAAATTTTGATTGTTTACGTAAAATCTTCTTACATTGCTTATTTGTTCATTTTTTTTATCTTTTTTGTAATTGTTGTTTACATTTAGTAACTTGTAATGAATGATCAGGAAAGACAATGAAGGGCCAGTT